GGCTGCCCGCGGGCTGCGGGAGTCGTGCCACGTGAGGCTGGAGCCTGGGGTCCGAGGCAGGTGGCAGGGGATGCTCTCGGCTGACACTGTGTGCTCCAGGAGTGTCTGGCAGAAGCTGAAGTGGGCAGTGGCTGCACCCACAGGGGACAGCAGTCAGGAATATGGCCAGAAGCCCTGTTCCCACTCCCTCCACTTCGCCAGTGGGTTCCCAGTCCCCAAGAGTAACCCACAGCCCACACTTTGGAGAGCAGCCTGAGGCCTACAGGCCCGGCCCGAGCCAGCCCTGAGCACCTGGCCTCCGGCTGACACCCAGGTCTGGTGCACACACCCAGCTAAGGAAAGGCTGGCCTGGGGCCTGGGAGGCCATTTGTGGTGGGAGCTCCTGCCCTACCCCAGGGCCTGGGGTCTGGTGCTTGGGCTCTGCTTGCTGTGCCGGCAGGCCAGGGCTCGCCTGCTGGGGCGTGTCCAGCCCGGTGTGGGCTGTTCGGTGTGGGGATGTGCAGCTCAGCCATGTGCTCGGACGCACAGTGATGGCCTCGCTGCCTTGCCCAGCACCAGCACTCAACACATGTGTTTAATCTTTAAAAAAAATTTTAATTTAAAAATATTTGCAGAGGGCGAGGGAGAAAGCACCCAGCAGTGGGATGTGGCCACGCCTGAATCCCTCCTCCATGTCTCCATCCTGCTAGGACTCGGGCACACAAGTACATGTGCCCCGCATGTTTTTCAAGCCACCAGTACTGGGATTCGAACTACTGCGCTGGCCATATGGGATCTTGCTCCCTTCACACTTGAGTCCAGCAACAGCAGACGCTGAGGGTGGTGGGGCTACTTCCTACTCAGGAAGCCCAGGTCCTGGCACACAGGAGACACCCCCTGCACCTGCGAACAAAGACCCTGTGTGGGGCCGTCAAGTCCACAGAGCCCACAGGGAGGCAGGCAGGTGGCCCAGGCTGGCCCTCTCTTAGGGGAAGGCCTGAGCGGGTTCCCTCCCCGCCACTCCACACTGGGGCGGGGCTTGATGATGGAAACCAGGTACTGTCCCCTCCTCGCCGACTCAGCACCCCTCCTCTATTCTTAACTCTTGGGGGACTCTAAAGTTGACATTCGGGGTCAGATAGAGGGTGTGACCAGTGTGGTCACCGTCCTGGGGTAGCCCCTAGGACCGTGGGAAAAGACATTCTAACCCTGCCTTCCCGGGGCAGGCGCAGTAATCCTCGGCAGCGCAGGGCACGGAGCGCTGCTCCAGTGGCTCCGGGAACCAGTCGGACGCCTCCGCGCGCGCTGCACCTGCCCCAGGCCAGCCGGACCCCGCCCATTTCCTGTCCGCACTCGCGGAGGGAGCTCCATCTGTCCATCCGTCAGTCCCTGCTTCCTAGACCCAGGGTTAGAATTCCTGAAGGAAGGGACAGCGGCTCCAAAGCCCGCTGTGATCTCGGCCCCCTGTCGGCCCCACTGCAGGGGCTGGGGAGGGTTTTTTTCCGCGCGAAGGAAAAGGTGACCCCACTGCGCTGCTTGCCCGGAGAGAGGAGCCCCGGCCGGTCAGCCCCCTCCAAGCCACGGGCGCGCTGATCCAGGCCTGAGGCTGGCGGCTCCAGCGCAGGACAAAGGCCAGGGAAGCCGGTTAGACCAAGACAACCCCTCTACCTCCCCTCCAAGCCCGCCGGTCCCGCCTCTCCGTGCCTCTTGGTCCCCGAATTCCTTGCCCAAGACATCCCCGCGCTCGGGTGCCCGGGTCCAGCCCCACTCACCGTCCACATCCCGACGCTCCCCGAAACCGGCGCGCACAGCCCCCGAGCGGCCTCGCGGGGGGCTCAGCTTGGACCTCAGCTCGGTGAACATGGGGCCCGCGCGTGCCAAGCCCGCGCACACGCCCCTCGCCGAGCACAGGGAAAAAAACCTCTGCGCCAGGCGCGCTCCGGGAGCTCAGAGGTGTGTCGGCGGCGCGCGGCTCTGCATGCAGAGGGCACCTGCCAGGGCAGGGGTGTCCGCGAGCACCTGGGCACTGCTCCGCGGACAGGTGTCTCTGCGCACCTGCCTGGTCCTTTGCGGTGGGGAGCAGAATCTGCCCTGCTCCTGAGGCTCCTGCTCACCTGGATCAGGCCGAGAGCGGGATCAGTCCCTCCCAAACACTGCTGCCCTGCCTACCTCACTGAGTGGATCACCACTCGCCTGCCGGGCGCTTCTCCATACTTCCTCAGACAGGCACCTGCTTCTGCAGAGAAGGCACCTTGACCCTCGCTCACCAACCACCACACACTGCTGGGTGAGCTGTTCCGCTCAGCGACTGAAAGACGCTTGGGAGAGGGTTGGGGTGAGGGGACCCCAAGGAGTGGTAGCAGCCCAGGGGTATGTGTGTGCCAGGACGCCAACGAGGAGTGCTGGGAAAATGCAGCTGCCTGGTCCAGCAGGTGGCCAGGCCTGCAATCAGCTGAGTTGTGCCTGCCCCGTTCAAGAGCCTGGGTGCTCCCACTAGTGTGCCTGGGAGAACTGGAGGTGCCTCGGAGCAGGGAGCAGAGGTGCCTGTGGACATGCAAAAAATGCATGCACAGTAGTTGCCCACCCAGAACACAAGCACACGTGACCTGACCTGTGCACATGCCCCATTAATACAGAGTTCACCTACATGCTTGTGACAGCCACCTCCACCTTTATGGATCTGCTGCCTTCGTTTATTTTGTCATTCGGCCCCCAGGAGCTGAGGGTGTGGCCGGGCCTGTACCGGGGCTGCACCTCTCTCAGGAGGGGACCAGGCACCAGGCGCCGAAATTAGTGGCAGCGGTCTGCAAATGCACACTGCCGTGTCCACACCACGACGCACACGCTGTACACGACTGCATGGGTGCGCAGGGTTGTGCAGAAGCGACCAGGGCGCACGCCAAGGTGAGCAAGCCGCTCTGCAGGACTCGCGGGTCCTACTCGCACGGGCAGATCCTCGGGAGCGCATTGAGGGCATCTTGGCATTGAGGACGCCCAGGCCCTGTCTGGGTCGCCCAGGCGGTCAGGGTGGCATCGCCCGTCACCCCTCGGTTCGGTCGGTACCGCGCGCCTCCCCACAGAAGCGAGCCCCCGCGCATGCGTGCCCCGCCTCCCGGCCGGGGACTGGAACCGGAAGTCGTCGAGTGGCACATCCGGGTTTCGGTTCCGGGAGTCCGAGGTGGGCGGGGCGTCGCGCGGATGGCGGGCTCTGCTTCCGGGGCGCGGGGGAGGCGACGGCCGTGACC